ACCCAACTCTCCAGCCTGTCCAGGTCCAGTTTAGCCTGTCCTGTCCAGTTTAGGCTGAAAGAGATCTCTGGAATCATCTAGTATGATACCCAGCTCAGAGGAGGGATAAGCTCTCGATTTAGGTTGCAGTGCTCAGGAACACACAGAAATCTTGAATTTTCTAAGAAGATCAGTAAGCTTAATTTAAAATTATTTACTAATACTACATGTGATGGAATAAAATGAACTATTTTGGTATATCATAACTTTTGGACCTTACACATAGATCTTAACTGATGGGTAAACCAAAGAGGGTAAGATGACAAGAGGTGGCTGGAAGAGCAAGTTTTTATTACCTTAAGTCCTTGCTAGCAGCTTCACTTCTGGTGAGCTCGTAACTGGAGTGAAATAGTAGAATATTCTGAGGAAAAGACAAGGTCACAATCAAAAGTATCCCCATACCTTCTAGTTTTGACTGCCAGACTAGTGATTTTAACCACTTGTATGATTTATGTCTTTAAAATACAGATGTCTATAGGTAAATTATGATTTTGTGTAAGGTTTAAGGGTCTTATGCCTTCTGGAAGCAAATTTTCTTTTCTAGAAGGAACTTAAAGCAATAAACCACTCTAGAAGGGAGTATTGAATTCTAGCAAGAGGTACAGTTATTTCATACGTATTTTGACAAAGTGCGCTAGAGAGTAGAATTCAGTTTCTGTGTTAATGAAAACGGAGACTTGACAGCACTGTGAATTACATTTTGCTCTACACACCCAACCTGGATAAAGTGCTAGTTAAATTTTTGATCTTAATGTGCAAGTATAAGTTTGTTCTTTTGATAAGATACTGTTTTGATGCTCTGTCTTGGTATTTTTGTGGTCAGCATTCCATAGCTGAAAGGTGAGTTGAGTAATCACATTAATTGGGAAGTGCATTTCTTAGCCAGAAGCACTTGGAGAAAACTTGTATGATTGGTTGTCTTAATATTTCTGTTGATATCTTGCATGTTACTGTTTAAAATAGTCATGCTATATGAATTCCATACTATCATTTTTTGACAGTTTTGTTACCATGAATATTGCATTGTTTGGAGACAAGCGTTTTAGTTTTCTTCAGGCTGCTGCAATTGCAAGGCCTGTTTCCAGGAAAAAAGCGTTACTGATTTGTCAGTTAAAAAAAAGTTCTATGATTACTTTTATTTTCAGTGTGAGAAGGGAATTGCATCTGTTAAATAATCCTGTGTCAATTCTTAGCTGTCTTTTCAAAAAAGTTTTGTGGTTTTACAGAGCGAGTTAAATAATTTCCCAATATATTTTAAAAAAACCTAGAGGAATCATGTTGGCAGTTCTCTGTATACTTAGACTACTGGTGTCAGTGGTGATTGAGGTGTAAGAACATCGCACATGATACACCTTAGATGCTCAAGAAGTCTTATTTCTAATACTTGTGAAAAGGAGAGAGTCCATACTTTATTAAATGTACAGTATATATGTAATTTGAAAACTGGATGTATTGAATATTTTTATGTTAATCTACTTTTTACTATTGACATAAAAATGAGTTGGAATTGTGGGGAAATCTCATTTATAATGCTTGTGTCTGAAGTAGTTGGCAAATATAATGCTATAGTTGCCATCAAAGCACTTTTTCTAAAAGCAGTTTACTTGGATGAATCAGACCTTCTTGAGAGTTGTTTGCATTAGTGAGTTCTGAAGTATTTTAGAAGAATCCTGCAACAGAAGTAATTTGGAAAGCTTTTGAGTTGTCTAAACAACTTATCCCTTTAATATTTTAATGTTATTCTTTGTTTGCTTCTTTTTTTAATTTTTTTTTAATCTTCCTAAAGGTTAAATTACACTTTACTGCACATTCTTTGTCTTATGACTTTCTTTCCCCCCTATAATTGCATATCAAACATTTTTCTTGTTCTCTTCCAGTTTAAGTTGTTTTCCCAGGTACCAGGTGACTTCAGATACCCAAATCAAATCATCTCCCTGCGCGTGTCACTAGAAAAGGTTTAACGCTCCTCTCTTGCTGCTCAGTTTTAACTCCCTCTTGTGGGTAGTTCTGGGTGGCTTCAGGGAAGGGGCTGAAGCAGGGTGCTGCGCAGCAGAAGAACGAGCAGTCGCATAGTGAGGAAAAGAAGCTCTGAGAAGATAACACAGTCGTTGTTATGTTCTGCAAAGGGCTTGGGTATCCAAGGAAGCTCTCAGGTGGGCTGGACTATCGACCAGCACTGGTTCGGCCACTCTGTCGTAACTGCCTGTTGGTATTCCTTTATCTCTTGTATTCTGGGCAAAACTCATGGAATCGCTGACCTAATTTACCTGCAATACTTGTTAGTGCTCACATGGTAAATAGGTGTCTAGGACATGATTTGCATGGGGTAGGAATGAATGTTTGTTATCATCTGGACTCCAGCAAATAGAGGTTTTGGCAAGTTATCCAAGTACATGTTTTTAAAATATGTCAAGCATTTATTAATACAGTACTGATACATGCTCTCAGTTAATACTTGAAATTCGAGCATTTTCTTTGACAGGAAATTTATCTTAAATTTGTTAATTTAGTGCCAATAGTCTACAAAAATTTCCCTGTGCTGAAAATTGAAAAGAACATGATAAGCTGTAAACATGTAGCAGTAGGAATAATTCTTGTAGCCATGTTGATGGATTAACAGGCAGCAGAGGTCATAAGGTGAATTTATGAATCTTGAGTCTATAGCCAAAATATTTTTATATGGTAATAATTAAACACTACAGTTAAAGCTACAAAATGGCAAGTAATTCCTCTTCTTATTTTGTTACAAAGGTTAGACTAGACTAAAAAAGGTAAAAATTACAGGTTCTACCTCTTCTCTTTTGTTGTACTTACTGTTGACTAAAGACTGGTAGCATTTCAAGCTGAGAAGAGAAATGGTTTATTGCTAGGAGGAAGTGTAGCGTGCTTTCTAAAAATGTTTATGTTACTGCTTGCCAATGCTTCTATCTATTCTAAAGAAAACAAGTTCTAGTAAATAATACAGCTTTATAGCTCTGTACTTAATATCCTGATCTAGCTGGTGTCATACTTGGCCCTGCCTTGTATGGCACGTTTCACAGTAAAAACCCAGCAACTCCAAAGCATCAAATAAGTTATGTGCAGTAATTCAAAATCTGGTACTTTCCCTTGTAGCTGAAGTGTTATCTTGCAGTGGTCTGTGCAATGTCGTGCTCTCACACATGCACATACGCACGTGTGTGTGCATGGGCGGTTTGGTTCATGCAAACCAGTAGCCACGGTGTTCTTTATACCATGTTGGGCTAAGGATTGCCACTAGAGGTGATGCACTTTTCCTTCTGCTTCTTTGTGTCAGGGCTGAGGTGTAAAAGCAGACTAATATCAACAAGGTCCTGTGCTGGTTTTGTGACTAACTTGCTGGTATCATTTTGAGTGTGACTGATCCTAACAGGGCTGCTGATCTGACCGAAGTAGTTGCATGTTCTGTAACAAAGTGTTAATGTGGGTTCTAGGGTCAGAAGTAGAGGTCCCTAGTGTTTGTCAACAGACTTTCATAGCTGGACCTTAAAACCTGTCTGGTTTTAGTTACAAGGCCTTACTTTTCCTGTCCACACTAAGCTATATTCTTTTGAAAAGAATGTATAATCTTCATATGTTAAGTACATTTTCTAGGTTAATATGAGCTACTAGAAACAAAAGTTGCTGACCCAAGAGCCTTTTGTCACGTATTTTATGACAGTTTCCTATACTAGGATTTATTTACAAACCTATTGACTCTGTTCTGTCAAATATTAATGTCTGGTGCTGTAAGTGCATGCAAATAGAAGACTCATGGTATCCCAAACACGACTGAACGAAAAGGAGTTTCATGGAACCACGGAAATACCATGAATGTGTTTTGATTTGGTTAATATTTCCATTTAAAGGTTGCTTTTAGCAAGACTGATTCAGTCTTGGAATTGTTTTCAGAGTGCATCTGAACTTATATTCTTAAATCGTTAAGTGGAATGATTTTCAGAATCAGGTAATTGTTTTTTGCATATGCCTATTCTTAGCACATGTGTTCACTTGACTGGAAGATACGCTAACGTTCTTGCAGAAAATTCATGAGTAAAAAGTGTTGGCACAAGTCATTAGTTTTCATTTTGAATTGTGGATTTGTTTCTATTTCATCCTCTTGGTGTAAACAGTAATACTAAAAGCTCTTGGAATTATCTGTAGTAGTTGTCTTTTGGTTTCCCCTAGGTGGTAATTTTTGCCACTTTGGGTACTGTCTTTTGAGTGTTGTTTCACAGCAGGCCGTGGTTCATGATCAGTAGTGCCAGAACTCTTTTGCTGTTGGATGACTGAGTTTCAATTGAATCTGAATTGATTTGGCGTGTTTTGTCCATTTGATACAAGTGCATATTATATAATTTTTATGTGCTCCTAAATTTTTATGCCGGTATCTGAACTCTGATATATCAGTAGCCTGGTAGAATTTATCAAAAAATATACTACCACCGAGTTAAGTTAACACTGTTTGAACAAAGACGAACTGACAGTTTGAGCTGATGTACCATAATATAACACATCAGAGCTTGGTTTCCAATCAACACAGGCATTTTTGAGTTGAGAAGCCAGATTGACTCTTATTATTGAACCACGGCCTTCAGGCAATATTGTTAGAACACCTCGTATTTACAGTTAAAATATAAATATGCTTCTTATTATGAAAAACACTGTGTGAAGATGGATTAATTTACTCCCAAAACTATTTGGGAGCTTTAGACTGCTGCAACTGATAAATGAAACTTGTGATATTTAACCTTTAGTATTATGCAAAAATGTCTAGCATTGCCATATTGAACTTACTATTCTATTTTTTAAAAATAAGAGTATCGTTAACTTTATTCCTTGTACAGTTTTTGTAGCCAATTGAAACTTTGGAGGCGTGAAAATTTGTGGTTTTGTGGAGTAAATGGGAATGTTTTAAGTTCTAAGAATGATAGGTTGACCGTAAAAACTATGTTTACTTTCAGAGAGAACAGGAAATGAGAATGGGTGATATGGGTCCTCGTGGAGCAATAAACATGGGAGGTAGGGATCTGAAGGAAAAAGGCTTCTGTAATGTACGATTTCTTTTTCTTTGGGACTGTACATGTTACTCAAGCAGTATTAATTATTGATAGCTACTGGTAAAAAGGAGTAAACAGTATTAGGACATAAAACCCCCCTCATATATTTTGCTTACAAACAGCTGGTTTTTTCCCCCAAGGTGCGTATTTTATTGTAGTTGTAACTACCTGTGGGAGAAAAAGAGTTGCAAGTTAAGAGAAACAAAAAGACAGGGAAAGATGATGCTTTAGAAATTTTCTGTTCAGAAAGTATTTGACATTCTTTTGGAGGGACTGTCTGTTCACACAAGTTGGGACTGTTATTGCATGTGGTGAAATGATGTAGAATTTAAGATTGGTAAGTTCTTGTTGACATACCTGGCAAAAGATTAATCAATAATGTTGTTACTGTTTGACTAATTTATTGCAAGCTTGTGTTTGCAAATATTCTCAATTCACTTTTGTGACTTAAGATATTGTCACTGTTAAAAACTGTTATTGTGAAGTCTAGAAGAGTACATTCTTAATAATTAGTGATTGCTCTGTATATGCAGACTGAAACAGTTGGAAATCTTACTTAACCAGAATATCTGCTTTTAAACAAGACTGAAACTTGGAATATTTCTTTAAAAAAATCCCAAATCTTACTGAACTGTGTTAACTGTCAATATATATCTCTTGGAAGCTTCCTAGTGATAATTTAAAATAAGATTATAATTTAAAGAAAAGTAAATCCAATTTTTGTGCATTTTAAATTTGAAAGTGCATCCAAAACTTAGTAAATATTATTTGACTTTTTGAATAATGTGAATTTATAGTCTAATGAATGTACTTGATACAGATTTTAAAAAACGTTATTTCCTTGCATTTATTAACTGGAACACATTTATAGCTGCAAGATAGAAATAGGCTTTTCTTTCAGTGAATATGAGCGGTTTTAAAAATAATTCTAAAAGAAGACATTACCGAGTTCTTTATAAATAGTAAGCTGAAATATAAATTGTGACCGAGTTTTACTTGGACACATTATTGCAGTCTACTTGAAAATTTCATTTGATTAGGAGACTTCGTAAGTATTGATACTGTGCTAGTTGTCTAGATCCAATAGGTACACTTTTTTACATACAAGTTTTTAAAAAGTCTATTTTTAGCAATTGGTGCACAGCCCATTGCCAGATTTTAATGCTTAACAGTGATGTTCATCATAGTCTTGCTTTGTGAGCTTTGTGCTACTGCTTGATTTGAAACTTGATATAAATGCTTTTAGAAATAAATAGGTAGTTTCAAAAGAAGTTCCCTTTGAAAAGGGAAAAGTATCCGTAGTGAAAAGGTAAAGATAGTGATTGTTTGCACAGTTATTTGGCTTTTCGGTTAGCTCACTGTAGAGATACTTTGTTTTTTCTCCAGCCCGTTAACACCCCACCACTACAAACCAAAAAAACCTCAACCTCAGAAACCTGCAATAGACCTTTAAATAGCAGGCCTTTATTTGTTGATTGTAGTGTTCTTTCTCAACATTTTTATTAGAGTTGTGACTTCATTTTTAACTGGCATTTACCTGTGCCACTTTTCATCATGCGGGATAGTGGGGAGCTTGAGTGTCTTCAGTCATGACAGCATTATTAGCAAGCAAGCTGCCTCTCTGATGGATTTAATTAGCGCTGGGCTGACTGCTGCAGGGTCACTCATTTTTTTACATTCTTTTCTGCAGCAGGCAAATTCCGAGAGAATCTACATACCTCATCGTAGCATTTAACTAGATCTGTAATGCAAAGTGCAGCTGATAAACTTTTCAGGGTGGGGGGGAAGGGGGTTTTTTTTGGAACTATCTTTACGTTGATGAGGATTATTGATTATGGCTTGTTGCCAGCTGTGCCAGACCTTGGCATGTGCAGTTCAGACACTTAGGGTGTACTTTTTCAGCCCTCCTGGTTGCAGGAAAAGGCCTTTTTTTTAGTGTCTATGCAGTGTGGCATGAACACCAATGACTGTTTTCCCTCTGTTACTGAACCTCGTCCAGTGAATTAACTGCTAACATTGGTGTCCCACAAAGAAGAACAGGTACTCAAGCAGGTAGCTTTTAGGGTCTGCTTTGGAGACAGGAGGACCTCTGAGGTACAGCTGAAATGCCATAGTGGCTTCTTGCTGGAGCTGTGCAGGACTCCACTCATGGCATTACACTCTGTAGTTGTCCTGTCAGAGCAGACTGCATGAAACTGGCTTAACAATACAGAGGTTTGATAGTACAAGTCGCTCTATGTCACCCTGGAAGGGATATGGATGCATTTGTATGATATGGAGGATATAACTTTAAGTTGAAGGATAAGAGGATATTAGCTGTGTGTGGCCACCGAGCTAGGTTTAACTAGACTGGTAAGCAAGCCGTTAACAGGTAATTGACCATTGACTGCTTTAAGTCAATGGTATTAACTGCCAGCTCTAAGTGCTGCCGTGCTAGTAGTCCTACAGAGTACTTCCAGCCTCTGAAAATAAAGATTTCTCCTTATATTGCCAGTTTAGACTTCTCCTTTTCCTTCCGTATTTAGTCACTGAATGGATGACGCTATAAAAAATAGTTTTAGGGCATGTTCAACTGTAGTTCTCTTGATTTGTAGCACAGTATTCCACCTACTGTGTGAACAGATAGTGCTTGTGGGTAGGTAAGAAGCATCTAAAGTGGGCATAGCTTTGTTTTAGCTTAAAGTCATAGGGAGAGTTCCTCATGAGTTACTCATTACTAAGCTAAAGTGAGTTCTGCTTTTCAAAATTACAAGATTTTTCTCCATTGCTTCTAGTACACTTGTTTAGCGCTTTACATGTGCTACTGTCTTGCATGGATTTTTTTTTTTTTTTGTGGATCAGCCTGCAGTTGACATAATTGCATCGTCAAGCCCAGATCTGCAGTTTTAGCAGCAGTATGCTGGATGCAGAGGGTTCACTATGCTGCCATAGATGTCCTCAGGGCAGGTAATAAAGATGCAATTTTCATACCTGCTGTGGTCATAGTCCTGTATCTGTGCTAAATGACCTGCTCACAAAGATGTACTTTTATATATCCATGACTAAAGAAGTTACAGCTCTGATGGGAGAGGAGAGGCTGAGCTTTGAAACAAAAATAACAAATTTATTAGTCTAGCGACATGTTGGATATCTTGGCATTGTTGTATGTTGTCATGACTTAAACTATAGGCCAGATTCCAAAGGCATGTCTTCTTCCATTATCAGACGTCTGGACGCACACTTTTGGCTGAAAAAGGTGAATTATTTTTGTGTTGGAGAGGAACCTGCATCACCACCAGTCTTAAAGTTGGTGATACTTGATAATAGCAGATATAAATGATGTATGTAATCAGACACCTTTCTTGTAACAACATGAGAAAATGTTGTGAGGGCAGTTTTACGTATCTGTTGATTGTTGGTGGATACTGACAGAGTGGTGTTTCCTAGCACAATATTACAGCTAAATGATACTTCAAAAGATGGTTTTAAGCTTTTCTTCTACCTCTTACTGTGAATTGGAGTTTTGGAGGAGACTGCTCTGTCCCTTTGAATTCCAACAAAACTTCGCTGAGGTTTCTGAGATTTTTACTACGATAAATATTTAAATGCAAGATTTGTTTTTATGTTATATTACAGTAATTAATTGGAAAGTTGAGTACTATCTTTAGTGTATATATATAGTTAGTACAATACTGGTAGAACAGTTCTTGCAAATGTATATTTAATACATTATGATCCTTAAAGAGCCAGGTTGCCTTATAGCTGCATATTACTACAAAATCACTTGAGCTTTTTGCTGATTTGTGGTGTATATACTGCATATACATGCTATATGAACACTTCAGTTCCTACATAGAAACTGTACAGCTATATTTAGCTGTAAAGTTCAGGACTTTAAAATACATGAGGGAGATTATGTAATGTGAAAGAATAGACATTAATGAAAATCTGTTTAAAAGCAGATTATTGAGATAAATGTACAGTCTCAAAGAATTTTTTTTTTATTTCAAGTATTGGAAGTCTTGTACATTTGGCTTTTTAATATTGTAAGTTGTTTGTTTATTCTTGTAAAATTCAGATAGGACAGCTCTAAGTATAGATTGTTTTGCATAGATGCGTTTAGCCCAGCACCTGCTGGTAACCAAGGCCCTCCTCCAATGATGGGTATGAATATGAACAACAGAGGAAGTTTACCTGGCCCTGCAATGGGTCCTGGTCCTTCCATGGGACCGGAAGGAGCTGCAAATATGGGAACACCAATGATGCCAGATAATGGAACAGTGGTAACGTATCACAAATTTAATTACTTTGAATAGCTGTCATGTCTCATGGCCCATTTTTGTTACCAAAGATGTTTTCACACTAAGAACATGTTACATGCTTTGAATTGTTTAAAAACAGTTGGTAAAACTTTTTTGCGCAAATAATGTACAACACAGAGATGTAATCTTTATATGATACTACTGTGAAAATCCTGCTTCCCTTAGGAATGAAGGGAGTGCTTTGATCAGTAATCAGATTTTAAATTGAGGCTAGAATGTGCAGCATTTTTGGCAAACTTTGCGTGTATGTCATGAAAAACTTAGTGATGAAAGGAAATAACTTCTGTGAAATAAGAAAAAATATACCAGAGGAATCTGTAAATTTAGGCATTTGCTGTTTTTTCTTTCGTGAAATTTACATTCTCTCTATTAGCTTGTTGGGGTTTTTGATGAAGAGTTAAATGTTGGAAGATATGTAGTGTGAAGATATCTTTGTGTAAACTATCTAATTTTTAAAAATTAGTGTTTTTTGTATTTCCTTACTAACAGTGTTGAAAACATGATGTTATGACAGTAACTACGCCACTTAGGAAATAAGTATGCCAGTAGCTGTTGGGGATAACTGTCATACCAATACGGGAAGAAGAATAATAGTGCCCAGTTGCCAAGGGCGATAGGGTGCGACTTGTATCTGGAATTTTTTATCAAGAGCAGATAGACCATTGGGCTACAGTTAAAGCGCTATAGCCGTTTTTGCTCTGCTCTCATAGCCAGTCACTTTTCCTAGCTGTAATGTCTTGTGTAGAGAAACAACTCTATATATTTTGAACTAGTTTTTAATATATTTTTCAGTATTCTGTAAGTAGATGTTTAGGATGTTCAAGTGATGGTGTGCCGCAAAGGAGTATACAGTATAAACGGTGATTTGATTATAATTTTATTGAACACCAAAGCATTTTGTAGCTGTATTTATATATATATGCCTTCCAGCAGTATCCATCTGCGATTGAGCAATTTGTATCATAATGAAGTTTGGACAAAATCCTGTGTTCCTTAGAGGAAAATAAGATTTGTTCGAATACAAAATGAGCCTGGCCTTTACCAATTAAAGGAGAAGATCTTGATTTACATCATAGGAGCCAGTGCATTTTATCATTTGTGTCATTTCTCACAAAGCGGTGCCGATGCTTTTCACAAAATACTCTTTTTCAGAGATGCTTTTGGTGGACACCATTGTTACTGACCTCTGGAACTTTCTCATATATAGACACTGAAAAAGAGTTGTAAGGAAAATAACACAGTATTGTAAAATAAAGTATCTATCTCAAACTGTTGTTTTTCTACAAAAAGTCATTCCAGGTTTGGAAATGTAGGCAATATCCCGACACTTCAAAATGCATTTTGGGGTTTTTTTCCAGTTTTTTTTCTTATTTGCATTTTCTTCTGCATGCCTCTGAAGAACATAATAAATGCTTTTAAAAAAAATTATTATTCATTTTGGACTTGAAGGTTTTAAATTTGGATGGGCAGGCCCCTACAGAGAGGCAAAGCCTTACTGTATTTTTCCTGTTGTTGGAAAGCCACTTTAAAGATCCTTTGAGGGCTGTCTCCTAAAACACCATGAGTTAATTTCAGTTTTCACTGAGAGGAGTGGAGAATACGCATTATAGACCAGAAATACATGTGGCATTTTTCATATTGGATGTTTTTCTGCAGTCTTTCAGAAGAATTTTGGAGCAGCCGTCTTTTTGTTCCACTGCAGTCTTTCAAAACATAGGTTATTTTTGAACGTAACACATTAAAAATAGCTTTTTTTGACCCCCATACTTTATTGTAGGTAGTTAATCATTGCAGTTTTCTTGTTAGGTGCAGAGAGGAGTCCTGTTGGAAGAGGACTTTTTGTCCAAAAGTCAAATGTTTAAAATTATTGGGAGTATGTGATAAGCTGGTTGTTGAAATTCTTACCCATTGCTAACAAGCTGGCATGAGTTAAGGATAATTTTTAAAGATCTTTTTAAGCAGTGCTGCAGATATTAAGGTACTTGGACGACGTTAGATCTTTATGCAGCTGTTCAAGTAACTTTCTTACTCAATGTCAAATTTTAAACAACGCACATATGCAATTTAGATGGTGGGTTTATATATATATTTATCTGTGCAAATATAATGCCATTTAAAAATACATATGTAAGAATTAGTGAATTTTAGAACTGTTGAGATCTAGGACTGTTACTGGAGTTAGACTTTCAGAAGAATTCTCTGATTCATGCATGTGGGTAAAGTGCTTGTCTTCAGTGTTCTTGTTGAACTAAACAAGTGGGCAGTTAGTGTAGATCTCTGTACAGAAGGAATTTCTTCTGAAAGTGTAACCCTCCTCAAGAGGTGAATGGTGAGTCATTTCAAGATCTGATTGTACCATATATCTGTGCTTTTAATGGTCTACGTTATGTTGAGTTAATGCTTTAAACTTGATCGTGTGGGGCTCTATTTTTAAACACTTGCATAAATACCGAACTTCAAGTGCTCAGATGCTTGTTTTCTGTTTTAGGTCTTAACTGCTATAGCCAAATAAGTCTGTAAGCACATACACCTTTATTAACATCAGGCACAGAACTAAGAAAATTAAATGTGGAACATTAACTGAATTTTCATCTTATATTGATATTTCAAATTAAGTTTTAAGATGTTTTTTAAACTAAGCATAGTCCCTTTATGCATTTTTGTCACTAGCTGTGTTAGTTTATTTGGACTGGGTGTTTGAGAAAAAAAAATAATCTTAACTAAAGAGTTCCGAAGTGCCATATAAAAGGCTGACTCCAGGTAGGATAGACTGAAATATCCAAAGATATGTGGGTATATAAGTCTTCTGGTTATATTGCTATTAAAAGAGTAAACCTACACTCTCTAGAAATGCAGAAGCTGATTTATTTATTTGTCTGTCAGTCAATCAGTCTATGTATTTATTTATTTAATTAGTTACTTTGACATTGTTTCTGTGTCTTTATTTAAGTGAGAAGCATTGGAGTTGCTATGTAAGGCAGAATAGGGCTCAGGTATGAAATTACTGTTGACTGTCTCTTCTGTTAGCTAGAGAATACGTTTGCTTTAGATGTGCTTAGAAGGATGAAGTTACATTCAACGCCAGAGTTGATCTTGAGTATGAAGGTTTTAATTTTTTAGTTTACTTTTAAAAAGTTGGAGCGTAACTTTAGCACTCTTTAATTTCTAGCTCTTTTTCCGTAATAACTAATTGAATTGCTCCTTTCTTCCCTCTATGTGTGATCCTGATTCTGCTGGACTCTCTGCTGAACTTCATGACAACATCACTTGTGGTTTATTGTTGTAACTCCTATTTGGCGTTTTCCAAATGGACTTGTATTAGCATAATGAGAGATTCCCTCAAGGAGGTCCATCACAGATGGGTTCGCCTCTGGTTAGTAGAACAGGCTCTGAAACTCCTCAGCCGCCAATGAGTGGTGTAGGTGCTGTGAGTGGTGGACCTGGTGGCTTTGGTAGAGGAAACCCAGGGGGCAACTTTGAAGGACCTAACAAGCGTCGCAGATACTAAAACGTGTTTCATTCCTTACTGTTTAGAAATTCCAGTAAAACTATACAGTGGTATGCCTTTATAATTTTAGCTGTTATCTTGAAACGGTTTTATTGTTATTGTAGTCTTTAAAACAGTTTCTTTTGTAAAACTTTTTTTGTATTCAGTCTCAGGCTTTGTAGTATAGAGCAGAAATGATGCAGGTCATGATGTAAGGCAATGTGTTTGTGACTTTAGCAAAATACAATGTGTGACTATGCTGTAAAACATGCAGTTATCTGATTACAATAAAATAAAAATCACTTGAAAGGATTTGGGGAATGTTATTACTAATACTGGGTCAGAATAATTTTATGCTTAATTATAAGTAGTTTCTACTATGTGTCAAGAAAGTTCCATTCTCAGTAGTGACTGTTTAGCTAAGCTGCATGTTGCGGTACATTCTATGAACGATTTATAACACAACTGCTTTTGTTTGTTTCATCTTTTGAAGAGCATCAACTTTTATACAAAGTGTTCTCAAGGATACCGTATCCTTGTATCTGGGTCTGTCTTTGCAGACTTGGTCACAAGAACAGAGTGTATCTGTTGACAGAGTTGACAGAGTGTATCTGTTACTCAGCTGATTGGAAGCTTAAACTTGCGCAAAAAAAAACCCCAAACAACCAACTTTGGATAACAGTATGAAAGAATTTACCTAAACCGTACTTTCACAGAAGCAAAAATCTTGTGCCATCTGTGTGTTCCTCTGATCGTTGGAGTACCTCGCCACTGTAAGGAAGGAGATATTTGTGCAAGTTGGTTCAAAGCCTTCCGCTGTGTAATGCATCATTATATATATACATCTCTCCCAGTGGGTGATTTGAATAGAAACAAGTCTGTTCTCCATTAATTGTTTAATTAGGAGGCAAATAAGTGCTTTCCACTTACAATAATTTTTCACTTACAGCAGAGTAATATGCATTTAGAAGGATTGCACGCGAGTATTTTTGATGTTTTACAGAATTATGAATTTGAAAAGTACCCATTTCCAGTACAACTCAGCCTAGATTTGCTGATTGAGTGTTAGGATAAAACTGATTATAAAGTTATTAGGATGCTGATTATGATTCAAATTTTGTCAGTCATGGAAGATGATGGAAAAGACCTATTGGTTCTATTCCTGTAATAGCAAGAAAGTAGAGATGGGTTTGGTTACTATTTTTTTTCCTGTACGAAACAGTTGTAGAAATACTACTGTTCTATTTTTATCAGTTCACTTAAGTTTTCAGAAATAGAAATTATTTGCATGACAGTGATACCAGATTGATTAAAAACTGTTTCAAGGTAACGTGGTGCCCTAATTATATCAAAATGCATCGCTCGAAGCATAGGATGCAAGCAGCAGAGAGAGAGAGAGTCTGCATGTTACTTCCTAATAGAGCAGTGATGGCCTTGGTGAACTGAGCAAATGGGTAGCAGGAAAATGGGGGCGTTGCTGGTGTTTTCAAAATAAACATATTTAAATTGCCAGCGTTATATGCCTTAAGACAGATGATTTTCATACAGTTCAGGAGTTAGCATGTGTAGATCCTCACTCGTGACATCTGTAACTACTAAACTTTTGCCTATATTCTGTCTTTAATGTTTCCCTTTTTCATTTGACTTGAAATATATGCCACTCTTAATAGTTTGTAATGCAGGGTAGGTTTAAAGTCTGAAATACTCTTTCC